GGGGGGGGGGGGGAAGAGGAGGAGGCGGCTCAAGCTTGCAACTCTAGCACGTTTTATTTTGTGTAAATTTATAAAGACAACAATCCTAGTCACGATTGTCACATTGTACAGCACATACCAATACAGTTGCAAACAGAACTCCACGCAAAACTAAGCGTTAACAGTAGCTTGAATCACTCTTCCTGCGATTGTCGTATCTAGACTAACAGTATTACGCTAACACTGAAGAAAAAATATTCACTATAAAACAGTGATAGAACGTTTTTATAAAATATATTCCATTCCAATAGCTTCTCTACATACTGTATACTATAAAACTCTCCCACAAAAATTAGTGTCTTTAAATATACATATTTAATCTGAACTGCACCAAGATTAAAAACAATTAAAAATATCAATGATTTTTTTTTTTTTTTTACATTAACTTCACAGTATTTGTTTGTAGTAGAAGACAAATCCAGTGTTTAAAATGCAGAGCAGGACTGTTCCCTACAGAGACAGTAACCACCCCACAGTGAAACAGTTTATGAAGAGACAAGCGTAAGTGTGCCATGTTTTTAGTACTTCTCTGTAGAGTCATGAACCATTTTGAAAACATGCTCCGAGCTATTGCAACTTAAAAATGAGACACACACAGAGAAAAAAAAAGTCACCTTAAGAACAAAAATAAGTGCAAACATTTTTTTACTTTAAAAATTCAAGCTATGAGGAGTGGGAACACAAATACCAGACTATGAGAACAGAGTGTTCATGATGTAGTCAAGAATGAGAAAGTCTTTTTTTTTTTTTTTTTAAAAAAAAAAAAAAAATTTTTAAAAAAAAAAACAAAACAAACACCTTTTGCCCCATATTCACTGCAGTACAGAGCATGCTCATAGCATCTGTTTAATGAATTATTTCTATACTAAGATCAGACACAAACTTGTTTCAACTTTTCCCTGCTCCATACGCTAACGATGTTCTTATGGCACATCCTATTTTATGTTCTTCTAAAAAAAAGAAAAACCCAAACAGTAATTGAAGACTGAAATGCAAAAAAAGTGTCACAAGAATGCAAAATTAAGATTACCATCTTCAGTAATGCCGACTCTACATTAAACTCTTTACATGTTGTTCAACATGCAAAACCCATTGTTATAAAATTTAAAGTGAAGTGTAAATTAACTAGTTTCGAAATAGATTAACAGTAATAATTCCACTTCAAAAAAAAAAAAATCTAATAAATACTATATCAAGTATCTTCAGGAGAAAAAAATAACTTAATTTTAGTAGAAAGAAAAATAACTTAATTTTAGTAATTTTGTTCAGTGCTATTTCCAATCACAGCAAAAAGGAAAAAAAAAAACAGCAAAAAAAATGATTAAGTAGAATAAGACCACAGTACCAAAGCCACTTATGTTCAAGATACAGTACTCTCCCACAACTTTCATATGTAACAGGTTCAGCAAAAATATTTTACAGTCAAGAAATTAGACCGAAAACAAAACCCAAAACTATAAATAGAAGCAAAATTTCACATTACATGTACATTCATAGTTTAAGAGATGAATAATAAGAGGCTGTAACAATATCCTGAATTTCTTTAAAAGAGGAAGTACTTATTTTAAAAAGTCAAAATAAAAATAAAAAAAAAATCAATCCCATATTATTTATGTAGGTAGTGCTCAGTTTTTGGACCAGAAGGGGAAGGCATTGGGTTATTTTTACTTCATAAAATGAAATACAGTGTTTTAAGCACAACTTTTTAAAATAATCTAGCTCAGTGCTTCAAATTAATTTTAAAATAAACGCTTAAGTTTCACAAAAGAACTCCAGGAGTGTCAGGAAAGCTGGTGAAGCAACACTAACGCAGCAGAAAGACATTCAAAACCCTCAGATATTATTATTATTATTATTATTATTATATTTCAGTCTTGTGTACCTTGAATGGGTAATCTGACTGGAAGGGAATAATCTGATATTGACTGACATGCACAGACCAAAGGATGATCTATTAGGCAAGTAATGGAGTTATCTGGAGTCAAACTGGTTAGTTACAGGCAGCCTCCGTTTACAAACAAACTAAAAAAATCCCACCTAAAAATACCCCAAAAACCTCCCCTGAAAAGGTGAGACATGGGGGAAAAAGTTGGGCCATGTTTTTCCTCCAGCAGTTTATCTTCATCCCGCCCCTTCAAAACGCTGGCGATTGCACAGAATTTGGCCCAGAGGGAATCACCAACTTCTTAAAAAATAAATTCCAAGCTGCTGATTTTAGCATAGCAGCAAACTTTTCAGACAAGATAGCACGGCATCTCCTAACCCACATGGCATGAGTTACCTTGAATTAAGACACACCCCGGGAGCCTGATAGCAAGAGGGGTTATTTAGCCACTTCAGGGCTGCTGTCACCCCAAAGGGGAGAGGATCAGCCCCTGGGTGTCAATATGGGAATGAAAACATTCACATATCATATGATTATTTTTTTTGTGTGTGTGTGTGTGTATGTATGTCCTAGCGTGCATCCTCCAGCATTTTAGGAGTGAATATGCTGCAGACAGAAAGAGTTTTTCCATCCATGTTTTATGCTCAAAAGCAGCTTTTCAGTAGGTCAGCCCAGGGAGGAGGATGGGTGGGAGGGGAAAATTTAAGTCAAGTCCTGAGGCAAAAACTTCTCATTCAGATTTTAGGACCAATTGCAGAACTATTCTAATACAATAAAGAGAATAAAAAATGACCAGTACCAAAGACACAGCCAGGAATCCTCACCCCCCTTTATGATTTGGGCCAATTTAAGGTCTCATCTAGCTCTATAAAATAAGAGTACGTCTGCTTACTCTGCGATATGCAGACAAGTTTCTCTACACTGAAATGTATTTAAATCATAGTTCATCTCTTTGGATGTTTCTATGCGACATGCAGAGAGCATTAGGGGAGCTTAATGGAATCCAAAATTTTTCTCCGGAATTTGCTGATAATCTTTTTTCAAACTAAAAAAAACCCCACCAAACCAAAAAACCCTGACCACGAAGCAAGTACTTCCAGCATGAAAACAGATGCTAAATCATTGCAGAATTACTTAGATCATTTCACATTAATAATGTAACATGGGCGCACAAGAGAAGACCTAAAGGACAGAGCTGAGAAGGGAGGGTGGCAGGAGAAGGGGGGAGCTGGAGAGGTGGAAGGACTGCATTAAAAGGCCTCTGGAGTGTATACCTCTGCATCTTTTAGAGATCATATACCTGAAGTGAGTATCACCAAAATTAAATAAAGGGGGGGGGGGGGAATAATTCAGTTGCTGCCTTTTTTTCCTGTTTTGTTTTAAGGGGGGGGAAGAAAATAAAAAATTGAAAAAAAAAACCAAAACAAAATCACACGTCTCAAACAACCAAGGACTTTACAAGGCCACAATGAAATTTGCGGATATGTCTGTACAAATCTCCAGACTGCGTGAACCGTCTCTCGCACCACTTGCACCCGTGGGGCTTCTCCCTGGTGTGCACGACTGCGTGGCGGCTGAGGTTGTGGGAATACTGGAAGCTCTTTCCACACTGGCCACAGGTGTAGGGCTTCTCCCCCGAATGAGTCCTCTCGTGCCTCTTTAACGTGTACATGCAAGAGAAAGTCTTTCCGCAGAGGGTACAAGTGGGGACTGACCCATCGGGGGACAGGCGGGTCCGGGAGCCATCCTTGTCGCGGAAGTGAGAGCTCAGGTGCAGCTGAAGGATGTGGGGGCTCGGGAACACCTTGCTACAGAGGGGACAAATGCAGATATGCCCAGGAGGCACGAGGACACCCGAGGAGGAGATGTCTGACGAATCCATGTCGTCCTCGCTTTCATCTCGCTCTTGATCTATATCCTCCTCTCGGGCATGAGAGCTGCCATTCCCCGCGAACATGTGTCCTAACCCTGTCACTAGGCTTTTGGCTGAATTCCCAAAATGCTGACTCTCCGGACTCCTGGCTTCGCCGTCCTCCTGATCTGACAGCAAGTCTTGTTCATCTTTAACAAGTGGCTCGGTACCCTGCTGCTGGCTGTCGGAAGCCAGCTGTCCAAAGACATAGGAGGGGTGTAAGGAATCTCTCCCCGGCACAGGCTTGAAAGACAAATCCAGCGCGCAGTCCACATCACTCGAAGCCAGGGGATGGTTAACAGACCTTTGGGACAAAGGTCCTGTGGAACTATTGACATTAGCCTTTGTTTTTCCAGCTGCTGCGGCGCACGGTTCTGCCTCTGTCGGCACAGAGCTGACACTTATATGATCAGAGGACCAGGCGGGGTGACTGCTGACCTTTTCTTTGCCTGCTGCTCTCTCGTATTCTGCAACGCTGAATTTTTGTTTGTTTCCTGGGTCAAACTCGTGGACCAGGGGCACTCCGGCGTCTAGAAAATGCTCCGCTTTCTCCAAACTAGCCACCTCATCATTAATCTTCTCTTCCGAACATAATTCTTTATCTTTCAACTTGCCCTTGCAGACTTTCACAATGTCATACATGTGAAGGTAGCTAGCTGCAGCCAGCACATCTTCGACCGGGAGACTGTTGAATTCCAGCTTTCCCTCGTACATGAATTCGAGCAGCAGGCTGAAGGCAGGGGCTGTGACAATGTCACTGTTCAGATGCACAATATCTCTTTTGTCTAACTGGTCCCTGTAGAAAAGATGGAAGTACATACTGCAAGAGGCAAGAACGGCTCTGTGAGCTCTGAATTGAGCTTCTCCAACTAAAACAGTACAGTCACACAGGAAGCCCTGGTGACGCTGCTGACTCAGACACTGCAGCAACTGGCGGCTATGGTCTGGAAACTCCATTCTTCCTTCATAACCTGTTCAAAACAGGAAAAACTTGAATGCTACTGTAAACTAAAGCCTCCTAGCAGCTGTAACAAACAGATCGGCTTTTTGGTAACACAAGCCAAAGAAACAGCCTTGGAGATAACGTTTACTGTTAATTGTCTGTAATAGTTTTATTAAGGGGGGGCGGGGGGGGGGGGGGGG